TGTTCCAGCCTGTGCTATCCAGAATGCGGGGTGGCCCGTCCCAGTCCAGTTTCTGGCAGCTGCAACGAGCCGTGCGTTAGGCAGTGCCCTGACTCTGAAGTCATCATCAGACCATCACCGGTTGTCGTAACCATCCCAGGACCAATTCTCAGCAATTTCCCTCAGCAGAGTGAAGTGGGAGCTGTTGGAGCACCTGTGGTCGGAGCCGGCTACGGGGGCTCATTCGGTTTAGGGGGATTGTATGGCTATGGAGGCCATTACGGGGGATTGTATGGTTATGGGGGACTAGGTGGTTACGGGGGCCGTTATGGTTATGGGGGAGGTTATGGGGGATTGTGTGGTTACGGGGGCCGTTATGGTTACGGGGGATTGAGTGGTTACGGTGGACTGTGTGGTTACGGAGGAGGTTACGGGGGAGGTTACGGTTACGGGGGAGCATGCGGTTCCGGGGTATCTTGCCATAGGTACCTGAGTGGAAGCTGTACACCATGTTAAACCCTGCAGGAATATCAATGGTAAAAGAAAAGACCAGGAAATGAACAACAAGCTAGAGATTCAGACAGAGATTTCAGAAGTGCTGGGCAGGCATGGCTCCACTTGAATTCAATGTGAACTGTGTCTGCTCAGCCCCTTTCGATCATACACCGATTGCTAATATTATGCCTGTAAACACTTTCTGCCAATGCTTTCCCAACCATGCGCTTATTCTCTTAGTCTCGCGTGGACTCATTCTGAATTACACTCAGGCTGTTTGCACTAGCCCCGCAGTGTGAAGGAAACAGGGGCCTTAACCCAGGCATCAGTTGTCTTTATTATCACTTTAATTTCTTTGTCCAACTCTGCATCTGCAACAAAGGGAAAAGAACATCTTGCCTCAAATGCATCCCGAGGAAGCGGGTGATCGGTCCCAGCCCTTTCGGAAATACTTGAAATGCATCCTTTCTGCTCTGTATTATTTTTTTCTGTAACTGTGTATTGCAAATTTCATTCATATTAAAAACTATGCTGCATCATAATATCGGTCATCTGTTTTTCCTTGTTCCTCACTCCTAGTTTAAAAATCATGCTGGAGAAAATTCATCCCTGTAGAGCCGGCAGTACCATACACCTCTCAAGCTGCAACTTTCGAAGGCATGGAGTGATAGGATAATAAAGCCCATAAAATGGTTCATAGCATTATTCAGGCCCTCTGCACGGGGGTGGAGTTCTTCCTTGCATTATCTGTTTAGCAAAAAGTCTTTTCCTGCTAAGACTTACACAGATTTTCACTTTAAGAATGTAAATATTTCTTTTGATTTCAAAAGGACCAGTCACATGGTTCATGGTAAGACTACATGCCTTCTCAGCCTCAAATGGAGTGACATGCACGTTGCAATCTGCGTTCCTAGTATTATTCCAATGACTTTCTTAGTGGTGCAATGAGAATGCATGTCGAGGTGATTCAGAATTGCATCATCAGCAGAATTGGCTGTCATGAGCAGAAATACACTTTGGTCCTTTCAGTTCATGCGGGTCATAGTTAGGGGCATTGGACGGTTCATTATAAACTTGCTAGGAAGCAAAGAGCCATTTTTCTGCCTTCTCGTAAAACAATCAGAATCATTCCATTGCCTTCAGTGTCTTTCCTTTCGTGACCTTAAGTCTCAGATTCACCTTTCGGCAGAGGGATATTACGATGCCTATGGACAACTTTCGCCCCACTTTAAACTTTCAAACTATGTCTTATCAGGGACTTCAGTGGAGCCTGGGTCTTTGTGATGGCCCTCTGCCCAGAGGTGAATTTCACCTTAGGGTGATTAAAACTTGATCTAACATTGGACCTCCACTTGTGTCACCAATGCTATCTCAAAGGGTTGCCTAGACCAGATTTGCTCATGGGTCAATGGAAGGGATAGTGGGGAGTTAAAGGAAGCACTGCTCTTTTCTACAAAATTTTTGAGTGAAATGGTTGAATTTGTACTTTGTTAGAAACCATCTCTCTATGACTGAGCTGACAAGAAACTGAGGTCTTGCAAGATAATGCAGCTGACTAAGGCCTGGAAGAAGCCCAGGAGAGATGGAAATCATGGATTATGGGTGAAGGAGGAAAGGGCTGTTGGCTGTTATTTGACATAGAGTCCGACTAGCCATAGGTTATGTTGCATAAACCATTCCTGCAAGAACCAGAATGTTGTTTTAAGTGTAAAATATATCTCTAGCAGTACATTCTATATCCAGGGAAGAAGGCAGAAATGTCTTGCTTTCCTTGAAGGACTTTAAGACCCTGAACTTCTTTCAATTTGAAGCAACTGTGCTGATTAACACCAAGAAAGCACCTTCATTTTCCTATAAATACACCAAATGTAAAATTACATTAGAATGAAAATGAAATATCCCCAAATTCTTTGGCTTTGAATCGTGACCTGATTAAAGGAATGACATGAGAGACCTTGGCGTCTATTTTTTTTTAAGTGACTCTACTGCACAGGCGTCTAATCCCAGGAACAATTTATTAATCTTCTAAGAATACAACCCTTTTTATGTGTGAAACACCAATGAATGTTTACGAGGTGCTTTGAAATCTTGAGTTCTGAGAATGCTGAAGAACTTCCAGCCTTAACATGCTTACTCTCCTTGTTTTATCAGCATAGAAGAATAGGCACATGGAGATGAAGGTCACACGGGTGTCAGGTGCAGAAACAAAAGTATAACCCAATAGTTCTGATTGCCCCTACCACAGTTCAAGCTCGAGGTTCATCCCTGTTAGACTCTATTACAAGACAACATTAGTAACAGGTCTTGTGAAATACTGTGTACATCCTTAGATCTAAGAATCCACGATAAAAAAATGACTAACGTTTGAACCACTTTAATTGTTTCTTCTTTATACTTGAGGACAACACTCTCCAAAGGAATTACAAGTCTGTCAATTTCTCTCTTTTCCTTGAGTGTTAGCACTGCAAATCACAGTACATAATTCAAGCGTCAAAATCTTGCTTTAACGCATAGCACCCATTGGGATGAAGTCACCATCTGCACTGTGACCCAATGGTAATGACTTCTTTCAGATTTGTGAAACGAGGACCAGGGTGGGACGTCTCTTTAACATAGCCTTCTTCATACATGAGGATAATAATTGTCCAAAGGAATTACAAGTGTGTACATTTCAAGCTTGTTAATGCGCAGTGCAAGAATAAAACTATCAATATTGAATTCAAATGGGAAAAATGATGGTACCAGATAATTCTAGTCTGCTCAAACGTACATACCAACCACTAAGCAAATACCTTTCTTTAATCAGTAGAAAATATTCATCTTCT